TATGAAATAATACAAGTTGAAAGATTTGAGCGGCTACCCATGCATTAGACGTGTTTATAAACATTATTTGCGTGCGTACAGCGTTTAAAGTCTAGTCAAACAGGTGTTCTTAGACAATATTTCGTGATACGTTATAGTTAAACAAGCCCACTAAAGACAAGGGCTGCACACTGTGGTAGACCAAGTATACACCAGGGTAGGTGAGATCCGAATATAGAAACATCTCTCCTTAGTGTAGAGCCAGTAGAATCATTGTGTTTTCCCTAAAAATTTGGGTTGAAATTGCCGTGACCAAAAGATGCACCTGCAAGGCTTGAAATTTTGAGGACTTTGTTACTCCGACCAATCTATTAATAACGTTTTCATTGTGAGACATACACCCTGGGGTTGTTTACTGCGATTGTAAAGGAACTGTTTGCGGATCTGCGGTGATTTGCAACTCCTGCAGTCTTGACCACTCAACACAGGAAGTATATTCGATCGAGAGTTAATAACTTTATTTCCCCATAATTTACTCTCCAAAAATACATTTTGAGTTTCTTTAATTATCTAATAAAATATCAAAAATGTAAGGCAGTGTGCTAATTAAACTTTCCTCGATTGACCGACCGGAAACTTTAAAGAAGATGACAAAATAATGAATAATTTCTCTCTTGAGAAATCTAATAAATTTAGAAAAAAAGTTTGAGACTTTGCCATTAGCGTGTTTTGCAATAATATCAGAGTATGTTTGCTATATTTTTCGTTTCATCAAAATGCTCCATTCAAAGCTCCTTTCTTCTTTTCTGAAAAATTTTAATATATGTAGTTTTCGTTGTGGCAAACAATAGCGCCGTATCAATTCGGCTGTCGATTGCAACTAATCAAAATGAATTTTTTTCCTGGTGTCATGTCCGGTTCTGACAAATTGCTAGTTTCCAGATTTATTTTCCCCTTATCTATGAGGTAATACACTATTTTGCATCAACTATGAATTCTGGGAAAAATGTAGTAACACAGATCTTATAGGGCTAGTGCCAAACTGTACTCCCCGAACCTAACCGCCGTGGACTATAGCCTTCCCTGAGATAGCGAGATCTAGAGAACGTACCCATATTTGCGCATTTACCGAAGCGCATTCTGCGACCCTGGGCTCATATCAAACTTTGCCTATTGTTATGGTCTAAATTTTTAAAGACAATGATCCTTTTGTTGTCTCGCCTTAGGGATTTTTCCGTCCAGTTTCGCGAAATTATACTCGAGTCAAATCGGATTCAGCCGGCAAATTGTCACTGATGACATTTTTTCCCAACGGTAGCCTACTTTGGAAATCAAAGACAAACCAACAGGGGCTGGGTCAGTAAATTTCAAGAGTACGCCAACTGCTTTGACTAAACTTTTTTCATACCGCGCGCGCGTGTTTCGGCCTTACTCAGCCTCACTGTACTTTACTCTTATTTTAGTCGTCAAGTAAAATAATTAATACTTAGAATACAGCTTGTTGTATTATATCCGTGTAAGTTTATGTTTTAGCTCATGTTTTAGGAAGCAAGCGGCGGTGAGTAGCTGGAAGCGATGAGAACGGGCGGCTGCTATGCATTATCTCAGTTTAATATGCCTTATGTGTTATGCTTCTTTGAAAATGACTTCTGTATAAATTCACTTCGCGCATGGCTTAATAATTATTTAACCAATTGCGCCTGGATCTACGTCGATCGGCAAGAAGACTATTTGTCTTTTGCACCTTTTCACGTTTAAATGATTTCGCTGTCGCTAATTGTTCCACTGCTAACAGAAAAAAAGAAATGAAAAGAAGAAAAAAAAGAATGAAGACACACCGCTCGATGTCGAGAGTGCGTGAAAAGGTGGGTTTACTTAGACTATTGTCAGGCCTCGCGTTTTTGTTTTTTGGTTTATTGAAGCAAGTAAACATCGCTGTTGAAGGTAAAACAAAAGGTGCGATTTTCGCACCTTTTTCCGTTTCAGTGATTTTATCCTCCGATTAGCCAAAAATTCTCAAACAAAAATCTTCATCGTTGCATTAGGTGAGTGAAAAAAAAAAAAGAGAAAATAGTGTGACTGGTTTGGAATTGCTTGCGCAAACCGTTGTTTGTTATTCCTTTTTTTCGTGACGACTCCCTACCTCGCGCGTGCTCACGTTTGTCGCAGATTTGGTTTTTATCCTTGCCCACACGACGGGCGGGCCATTCACTAATTTAGGGTATTGCTCTGCAGTTGAAAAGCTCATAAATTTTATCAGTGATACTTGCATATAAAAGCCTCGTAAACACAAGTCATAATCACTTTAGACAATCCCTGATTGAGAGAAGAGCTAAGAAACATGAGTAAGTTTTATGAAGTATCGAAAGTGCTCGATAAGCATACGGACGCTCACGGTCGCGTTCAGTACCTCGTCCGCTGGCGTGGCTAGGGAAAGAAGTACGATAGCTCGGTTGATAAATCTCCGAATGCGACTTAAAGTCTACCTCAAAATCCCTGTCTAAATTCTCTCGACGTATTTTTTTTTAAAAATGGTTAGCTTTGATTTCGTTTTAGGCCATAAAAGCTAAGAAATTTATCTCAAATTTTCGTAGCCGAGATTCTTGACTGCAAAACAGAAAAGGAAGTTAATGACTGTGAAGATATAAAAATCATGTATGGGAACTGCGGGTTATATATATTTTGCTGAAAGGTCCATTACATTCACTTTGATGTTCAATCACTAGAGAACACTCTTTAAAAATGGTTGGTGTAAAAATAATGCATATTATTGACTAAGAGCTGTACAATTTTCGTCAAGCTAGTTTGAATTCGCCAAGCACCTTTACAAAATCAACCTCTATCAGTTTTCTTTGATTAGCCCACCTATGATTTAACCATATTCTGATAGATTTCTTAGGTTTGTAAAGAAACTAGCCAATGTTCTGTGTCAGTAGCTTGATCTGTTTTCACCTTTCTTCTTAGACATGGAAGAAAAAATGCGATGAAGGGAATCGTGAATAACATTTCCCCATTCAACTCAGAGTGACATTTGAAGATTTCTTTTTCACGCCGTAATCGTCTTTTTTATTATTCGAACGAGGGCAGTTTTTTTCGTAATAACAGCTCTCATATTGAGCTCAAATAGAAATTATTCTACTAGAAAAAAGGCCAAACAAACAAACATCTTTTGCGAGAAACTGCAATAAACACAGTTTACCTTTGATGCTAAATCTAGCATTACAACAAAATCTACTGATAAGTTTCTTGACCATTTAAAAGTCTTATTTACAACTTGCACTAACTCGCATCAGCTTGAAGTACTTGTCTATCTATGTTTTCTTGAGTTTAAAAATAAAATATCAAGTTGAAAATATGATTAGATAGCTGACCAAAGTGACGTCTAATATTAGAATGATCAAACCTCAGTGAATATTGAAGCAATGCAAAATTGACGTGTCCAATTGCTGAGATGAGCTCTATCGTGACACTTCGTGACTGCCATGTTCAAAGGTGTTTGCCACTATATCAAATTCTGAATCAAACTAACGTATGAGCGATCCATTTTGATAAATCCTGTTGGTTTGTGGAAAATTGGGAATCGGTGTGAACCTGTTTAAACTATTTGTTTTCTTACTCCGCCTCTGGAAACTGGTTTGAAACTTTGTAGTTTTGAAACGGGAATAAAACATCAAACTTTTTAATCTTCTTTATTGAGGTTCTCAAATTTTACGGCAGTGTGACCCAGTGGCCAGGGCGCGCTAGAATTGTAATCTTTTGGTCCCGGGTTCAAACCCTTCCACGTTACTCTCTAGATTTTCGTTTGCTCAGTGTTCAACTGCGTGACTGTTCACAGTCAACCTCAGTTATTTTTCCATCTCTTACAAAGTATTACCCTTGTCAGACACTTTAATTGTTGACTGATGTGGAGAACTACCTGAATATGGTCCATAATTATTGCGTAAAAACGGAAAACACGAAATAAATAACTTGCTTCTTGTATTGCAGTTATCCAATTGATAATAGATGAAGTGCAGCAAAGACATGCAAACCTTTGATTACAGAGAGGTGCTATTTCTCTCAGGCTCAGTTGTTTCGTTGATTGATATTTAATCCGTTTATTGACATTTGATTGTTTGATTAGCCGCGTGATTAACAGTCGATGGTGTAATAGCTAAGTAACTTGATCATTCAGTTAGGACACGTTTTAAAAGTAACGCGAAATCAGAGACAGAGGTCATTGCTGACCTGTTATTGAAATACGTTTGATTGGATATCGCCACAGAAGTAAGTAATTTGTTTTATAACCGATTGAATTGAGAATTGTTAGTCGAATCGCTCGCATTAGATCAGGTTTCTCAACAATTTTGTATCTTTCTTATAGATCGAATAAAACAATACAAAAAGATTATACGATTCCGTATCCAATCATTCGTCCGAGAACCATTTTCCCTTGGAACATCAGTGACAGTTATAACTATGGTTACTACAACTACTTTACTACTAAACAACGTGTAATAATTCTTTCTCAGAAGCCGCTCCTTTAGGCAGTACGATAATTCATATAGTGCAGTAAAGACATGCAAACCTCCGATTACTTACAAGTGCTATTTGTCTCAGGCTCAGTGACTGTTATAACTATGACCAGTAGAGTAATAGCTCATACTTTCTCTGTTACAGGTCACATACACTCAAATAAGCCTGAAAATATTATTTAATTAGGTTTTAACTGGTCGTCATTTCGGACCTCTTTCTGGTGTTGTTTTGTTTTTTGTGGGAATGGCTTGTAAAAGAGCTACTAACGTAGGCATCATCGAAATTTTACTCATTTCACTCAACACGTTCTCCTACAAGATTCACCTGTTAAGGTATGATTTAATCGAAATAAGGAACACTACACTCCCGCAACTACTTTACTAAACAACGTGTAATAATTCTTTTCCAGGAGCTACTCATATAGGCAATAAAAAATTGTCATTTAAAAACTTACTTAAGCCCACTACAGACTGTAACTTAGCTCTCTACGGAAACCAAAGACTCACCTTTGCCTCCAAATCTGCACAAAATACACAATCTTTGAAGGATATCACAGTACTGAGCTATCTTTCGGTAAAGCTTCCTTGATAGTCAGCCTTTTCCGAAAAACTGAATTACCACTCCTAGCTGACTAAGTCTTTATATACATTCACGACGTATTTTAAAGCATTCCGGAATTCGAAGCTTACAACACAACTGTTGTGGCAGAAATGCATCATAATTACATACCTAATGGAATGTTCTAGTTTTCCATGCTATGTCATCAGAAAGTTTGAGTATGAATGTCATAGTGACTCATAATTCTTGAAATTATTTACTGTCTCTATCCACAACACACCTAATATGACTTAAAAACCCTTGTAAATAATGATGCCAATGAAAGCATGACCTAACATAATAAACAACTGGCTCATAATCACGGACTGCCGTGATCCATAGTGGAGGGCTTTTAAACAGAATAACAATTACATTCCCACAATGGGTGGGTATTAAAAGCTGCTTTAGTTTGTAACGACCTGAGTAAACATCAAGAGTCCAAAGCGTTTTGTAATAAGCAAAATACGATGCTCAAAGTTGTGCTTAAAACTTACTTAGTGAAGCTCTTCGATTGGAATAGATATAGGTGATACTAAGATTATTGGAAAGCTCACTAATGCCCATAGTTGTTTAAATTTGCCAGGGAGGGGGGGGGGGGATGGGGGACTACGCTGTCCAAAGGTAGTCTTGTGTTCAAACTATTCACTGTTTAACGCTAATCATAAAAAGTGGATCATGTGAAATTCTTAAAGTCCCCGTTATACATTAATGTAAATGTGCCAATAAATCGATTTGTGAATCCTTTCGCTGTGCAGAATAACTTGCTTATAGCATTTAGTCTGTGCCACAGTAGCGCAGATTACAACCAGGTACCTTTTGTAGTTTGTAAATAAAGTAGGATCCGCAGTCTTTCACCTTAATGTTTATTGATTTCTTGCAACAATCTCCACCTCTGGTAAAGCAGACCTGGGAGGAAACCTCACCATCTGCCAATGTGGGGTGACCACCTTTTAGCCAGCCTGGGGAGGCCGTACCACATTTCCACCGCGGTACGCACCAGGTTGGCATTTTTGTTCCTGCATCTCCCACGAAACGATACCAATTCCCGAATATTAAGGATGAGGAATCGTCGTCACATTTTTCTCCACCGTAGGGTGTGATGTAAGTGCTCTTTCTGTCAGCATCGCTCAGGTTTCTGTAATTATAGCACGGATCGGCTAAAAAGTTGAATTTCGGTTAATGCGATGTTTTAAATATTTCGTTATAAGAAAGCTTAAGAAAAAACGCTATTTTATAAACTGCGGTGGTTTAAAACGATTTCCCGCCCTGAGAAGAGTCGGGAAATTCTTCTTAAACACGCATATAGTATTACGATAATTTTTTACATGTGTTTAATATCACAATCAGCTGTGTCAGGTCAATCCAGGGTCGCATGTCGAGATTTTCTCGAATTATGGCTGCCAAAAAAAAAAAAAGAAAAATTCGTAATTCGTACAATGTTACTTAAAATTTCCTAGAAGAGGATGTAAAACAAAATACGAAAAAATAAACCTAAAGTCAGGTCTTTGACCTGGGTAATAGTATTTCTCGTGGCTGAGAACGAAAATCGACAACTGGAAGATTAGCCACAGGCCGATTTCGGCCGTGTACATGAAAGTATTTCTTTGGTTGGTAAGGAAAAAGTCAATAACTTAGAATTTTGTGAAAAGAAAGCTACGCCCATTGTCTGTTTCTGTAATGGTTCAACGCTTTTTTCAGCCCGAGCTTTATCGCCGACGCGCTATACGACTTTTTTTTTCGCGGATTGTGAAACCTATAATTTCATTTTCAACCTATAATTTTCATTTTCTATTGTGTTTACATGATATACAAAATAATAGATGGTCGCTTGCAGATATGGAACTTTTCTTCTCGTGTTTATCTGGATACCAAGAGATTATAACGGTTTATATTCTCTTGCTCGATACCTTACTCGTTCGCTGCTCTCGCTCACGAGATAACAAGTTGAATATTCGAAGAGAAATTCCATATCAAAGCGCACCCAAGTATTATTCTCTATTTATTGAATGAGTACAAAATAGCCGAGTTTCTCATACAGCCTCAATACAAAATCCTTTAAAAGTTACCATATTCAACTAATTTCAATGCATGACCGTGGCGCGATTGCTCAGTGATCGCTTTTCATACAGCCCGGCAATCATCGACTGCCTACCACAAAAAAGATTGTTGATGAATGTAAAGCCATCAAACTTGTTAATAGGTGCTCCCGTAAAAATTGCCCAGGGCTAGAACTATTTGACCGTGAAAAAGTTTTCTGTGTCGGAATGGAATTGTACTGAAGTAAATGGTTTTTCTTCAAACTGAGCAGATATGCAATTACTACTTCGTCGAGAACCGATTACTGCTTAAGCAATAGAGAACCTTTTTTTCCGTGTTTACATACTCTCATCTAAACACGAAAGGAGGTTGGGAGAATTTGGGAAAGTTATGCGAACCCGATACGCAGTCAAGGGTTTGCATAACTTTCAAGAAATTTCCTGGCCTCGAGCGTTTAAATGAGAAAATGTAAACACGGGAAAAAGTACCCTATATATTATAAGCATATCTCTCCAATAACGTTACAGAGGAAGGTAAATGTTGTTTGTTTATAACATGACTGATAAATATTTTCTCAACACTTGCTTTGGATGACAGTGTTTCCTAATAGCCAATCAAATCGTGCATCTGACAACAAATAAACCAATAAAAAATTCGCGTTGTAAAAATTTTTTTGGTTAGTGCACTTTTGTTCCAGCCTTTTCCAGTGATTGACAAAATATTCTTCCTTCGGTTTAAGTCGCTCTTAGTATTGCATTAAGTGCTGTTGGATTTCTGTCCGCAAAAGTCTTCAATTTCGACTTCATACCATGCTCGTAGTTTTGTCGGCTACACTCAAATTTGTCTACGTTTTCCTTATTTGGACAAATATTCTTCCACTAACTACTGTTTAAATAAACAAAGCAAACTAAAACTTACTATCAGTCTAAAGGTGATTCCTCAGTATTGCACTGGGCATCCTGTACTGCGCATAAAAACCACGTAATCAGGCAAATAAGCGCACGCATTCCGAGAACACGGTATTGCTTTTCAATAAATAGACCGTGCAAACAGGTACAATGCTCTTTAGCTCTTGAACGAGCGCGGTGACCTCTATTTTTCATTGCATATTTTTTGCGTAGAAATTAAGAATTTGGAGAAATTAAGAAAATTATCGAAGACAAAAAAAAAGGCACAGCTAAAAGCATGTTACTTGATGATGAAAATTATTACCATGAAAACAACGACGTGAGGAACGTTTTGAGTAATAATAATTGCTAGTATATATAAATAATTTCCGCAAATTACATATCAAATTTTCCCCAAGCTCGAAACTTTGTACCTTTGAAGTTTTTTCTTTTCATTTTTACTTCGAAAACCCTTGCTTCCAGCTACCGAAAAATGTACCTTGAAATGGCGCTTGTGAAAAATTGCTGGTAGAGACATAAATGAGGAAAGTTTGGCCCGTCATTTCTCTCAAACAAGCACGGTGACCTGCCTTTCTTAATGAATTTGTTGAAACAGCTACTGGTTGGAAAAATTTAAAGGCAGACTAATAAAATTGTTAGATTATTTTTTTTTTTTGAGGAATCACCCACCTTATTAGGTCAGAGTGAGAAAATCGTAACTGCGGTCAACATCGATTTTAACCAATCAGACTATTCTGTTTAATTGAGACATCATCAATAGAATTACATTTGCAGAACAGTTATGCGTCATCAAGAAAAAATTATTTTCTTTCCTGGTGGACAACAACAATGCACATCAAGTCCAAAAATATGATGTAAAAAATCAAATCTATCTTTCTTTATCCCCAATGTTTTGTCGAAGGACGTTTCCAAGCAAACTAAAGGTACTAAAAACTAACGTGATTTGTTACATGGCCAAACAAGAATAGCCATTCACTCAACATTATTTGCAGCGAGTTCAGCCAGTACCATCTCTAAAAAATATATAAGGCATGGATTAAAAGAGACTAACCTTTACAATTCAGACCATCCCCAATGTATTTAGGATTACAGGCGCAACTGTAGGAGCCCTGGGTATTACTGCAAGAGGCGTTCTTATCGCACATGTTCATTTGTGAGCACTCGTCAATGTCTGATGGGGATCAAGTGCACCACGTCACAACCCAGAGTTAGATGTTATGATGAAAAATGTTTTGGCGAATCAAGATATAATGAATACCTTTCCAAAATACTGCAAATCTAATCTCAAAGAATATGGGACAAAACAAAACAAAACAATCCACAATTTTTAATGAGGGATGAATTTTAGGATAAATGTTTGATTACTCCCAGTCTTATAATTTGAGCTAAAAAGACGTTTCAGATTACCTCCCGCATTGAGCAGCTGGGATTGTACGTATAGAAAGAGCAGCAATGAAGGTTGCCTCTCTTCCGTCATAAAGGGCTTTTCTGGACATTGAAGGGAAGTTATCAAAATCACTTGAGCAAGTTTGTCCATCTCCAGTGTATCCAGTGTGGCATGTACATACATGTGATCCAATTGTGTTGGTACAGTTAGCATTCACATGACAAGAAATATTTTCTTGCCCATTCGTCAATATCTGAGAAATCACAGGCTTTCAATCACGATTCTTGGAGCATGATACATGTATAAACCTCCTTATTTTGAACATTGAGAGCATTTCATCCTCTTGCTTTCAATTGGGATTAAAGATTTTCATTTTCTACCATTGGTCAAAAATATTAAGGCAAGGGTAACTACTTTATCAAAATAAACAAAAAAACAAAGAAGGAACGTACAAATTAAACAAACAATTAAAAATACAAACACAAACGAACAAGTAGGGTCATAACGAGACAATTACAATCTAAAGGCCTTTACCTGTGCAGTTCCGTCCATCTCCGTTAAATCCAAATAAACAGGTGCACACAAAGGATCCATTTGTGTTTTGACAAGAAGCGTTCAGGTGACAATCGTGAGTATTTTTTTGGCATTCATCAATATCTAAAAAAATGGGTAAGAAAAGAAAAATTATACAACGTTAGTGGTTACACGAGTGAGATATACGACTACGACTTTTTTTCGCGGATTGTGAAACCTATTATATCATTCTTTTCAAAAAGTCGCCTTTTATTCTCAGTTAAGGCCTATTGTGTTCGTATAGCTAATCACATCACCGCTTTTAGGCTTGGCTAAATCTATGTATTATTCTCTTACTCGATACCTCACTAGTTTGCTGCTCTCAGTCATGAGGTAGCCAGTTGAACACTCGAAGAGAAATTCCAATTCAGCGGGAACCCGGGTATTATTCACTATGTATTAAATGAGGACAAAATGACCGAATTTCTTAGTAATAAATTGTCGAATTATCTTGCAACGCGGCTGAATGGTGCAGCACTGTAGTCGAACATGTCATGCAGGACTGTTCTACATATTGTAGCGAAGAGATTAAATTCACCTGTGCAGTTTTGTCCATTTCCAGTATATCCAGCGTGACATTGACATAAGCTTGGGAATCTAAGTCTTTCTGTCTTGTGGTTCTAGAGACAGGCCCTTCATGTTACCACTCACCAGGCTTTTTCTCGGTTCCCCCAATTTCAACTACGTTGTTCTGTCCCGTAAGCCCTTCCATCAAGTCTCCCTTTGCCAGTTGAGATTTTTGAATGTTTATTGAATACAAATGTGTCATTATCACCA